CTTTCATCTGTTTTTCCCTAATCCAGATGAGAAGTAACCTCTCAGTTTCTGCAATTAGGGATCTACTTTTAAACACTCTGGTAGATTTGTCTCTCACTTTCACTTCTTTAAATTTGTCTTTCTGTGCAAGAATTGTCGACACAGTTGATGTCGACATGCCATATTCTTTGCATAGCGCATTTGTTCTAATGCCTTGTTCATGTTTTTTTATGATTTCCTGCTTGGTTTGGATTGAAATCGCTTTTCTTGATCTCTTAGGCCCTATGCTGGATTCAAACAATGTCAACACGCGCTTTTTAAAGTTAAACTTGTTGCAAATAAAGAATATTTTCTTTAAAATAACACTGCACTGCGCTATATATTGTCAATATGTAAAATAAATTTCAAAATGACCAATAATTTGCTTGAAAACACAAAAAAAGCGTTTAGTTGAAGAGAGTCTCAAGCAAGATGTTACCTCCAGTGAAAACAGAGAGAGACTAACGCCTGTTTGCTGTGTTAAGAGGCTGGATGCCGAGCATTAAACTAGTCACTTTACCTTCAATTATGTTCAATAATTGTTAAAATTACTAAAAAATTTAATATTAAACTTTTAAATTATTGAATAGTATAAACTTCTTGATATTTACTAAAATAGTAAGGAATTTAAGCCCTAGAACCGATTAATGTATTGGCGGACTGATACTACAGCTGGTTGACCACCCAGTGCAAGCCAAAACTTGTTGAGGTCGGCTCGTAAGAAACTCGTTAACCGAGGGGTTGCTCGTTAACCGAATTTAAGAATCTTATGGGAGGTAACTCGTTAACCGAAATCTCGTTAACCGAGGGACCACTGTATTGTAATTTATATGCCTACAATTGAAATTTTTAACGTTACAGTGTACAGTTAAAGAGGAATATAGAACAAAGATTTTTAAGTATCGCATACATATATTTTACCTTAAAGTGAACATTATGGGACTCAGGTCATGTCTCTCTGGGGTTCTGGTAACCTTATTTGCCTTAGGGCCACGGCCTTTTCTACCACGATATTGCCAGCCACGGGGTTTTTCAGAAATGCGACCCCCATGGTTGGAGAGGGAAGACTGTATATGGAGGCACTGTGGTTGGCACTGCACGTGACTGCCTTCTCTTACCCATCTAAAATTAGGTGCACAATTGCAGTTAGACAGACCATGCAGCCTGGAGAGCTGCCATCAGGTAATCATGGCTAATCCATACAAGTGTGAAAAATAGCTTTACAATGATGATGAGTCATTGTAATGTATTAACAACACTTGCTAAATGATGTACGTATAAGTCAAATTTCAATCACACCTTGAGGTAATATTAAGAACTATGGGCACTATGCCACCAAATCACTAAGAGGGCCTAATTATCAGAACAGTACTCTTACTTTGTCTCTTTAAAGACAATGACTTGAGAGACATTAGTGTTTGTTGTAGGGAGTGGCTAGAGCCCACAGTCAGAACTGCCTGGAGTGCAAGTTGCTACATAATGAACAGTTAGATCAAAGCCATTTAATAGGGGACATTATTTTTTCAATCACAGCTCAGCTATATATATATATATATATATATATATATATATATATATATATATATATATATATATATATATATATATATATATATATATATATATATATATATATATATACACAGTAGTACTTGGGGTAGGTTTCACTCCCCACTTAACGCGGTCAATTGAACCCACAGGGTACCGCGTTAAGTGAAATCCGCGTAAATGGAACAACAGAACATATGGGATTAATTCTAATAGAGACTGGCCTGACACCCAAACTCCACTTTTTCCGACACAATACCTATGTTGTAGTAAAAATAACATCTAAATTTTATGATGGTATGCTCACACAATTAATATTTAAGAGAAATACAGTCGCCTAGTTAATGTCCATTCAAATAATAGACTCAAATCCCCCCTCTTCCCAGCTCACTGGCCCCTACCTCTCTGAGAAATGATTGGGTGAAACACTAGATTTTAACGTTTAGTAATAAATAATACCTCAGACTAAAGTTAGGATAATATAATTGACATTTCTGGATTCCTTGCAGGTCAGGGAATGTTTTGAATGTAAACTTCATATATTTTGCACAAAAGTTTAAATACTTGCTTTATGTAAACCAAATTATTACATTAGATCTAAAATTTGTATGTCTAATGCAAAATCCATGATGTTTATATTCAAAATGATCATCATATTGTAAGAATTACAGCAATGTAAATTATATTCTGGTCCAGTAATTTGTATGAATTTTATGAGCTAAAACAAATATCTTCAGTTAATAAAAAAAAAAAATATTCTTCACGACACTATCTGTCAATCAAAGTACCCCAACTTGCCTCCCCCCTCTTCCAACCGCGCCATATGGTCGGTCGGTCCCTCCCTCCCCCCCACCCACCCACCCACCAACCCTCCCTACCAGATAAATGTGTGGGAAAACCAAAATATTTACCTTTTTAGTAATAAATAATACCTCAGACTAAAGTGAGGTTAATATAATTGACATTGCTGGATTCCTTGTAAGACCAGGAATATTTTGAATATAAATGTCATATATTTTGCACAAAAGATAACATATTTACTCAGAGTAAATATTACATCTAAAATTTGTATGTCTAATGCAAAATCTATGATGTTTATATTCAAAATGATCATCAAATTGTAAGAATTCCAGCAATGTAAATTATATTCTGGCCGGGTAATTTGTATGAATTTTATGAGGTAAAAAAAAAAAATTATACTTCATGCGTATATGGGTAGATGAACCGCGTAAAGTGAAAGTTCGGTTCTGGCGAGGCACCGCGTATATGAGAAATCGCGTAAAGTGAATCCGCGTAAAGCGAGGTACAACCGTATATATATTTAGTGGGTCTAAATGGTCATAAAATGGGAAATTTGGGGTTGGGTCTCGGGTGCCTGGAACCAATTAGAATAAATCCCATAGGTTCTGTACTTGCGTTATCTCATTTTTCGATATCACTCACTCGGCGGGGTCCCAATTAGGCGTGATAACCAAGGGATGACTGTACCGTACTGTATATACTTGTGACACTTGCCAGTTGCTTCTGGTGTTATGGTACAGGGATACCAAGTGACAGTACTAGGATCCCGCTTCCTCTATAAAGGAATAAAGAATTGAAATTGAATTTTATATTTGACTAAAAAAAACATTCAAATAATGGGACGTAGCGAACGTAAGTGGCCCTAGAGCGGGCGCAGTCACGTTTGCATCACGTATGCATCGCGTATTCTTATAGATTGTGCTGCCAGGCATATTATGTTATTTTATTACCCTTCCTAACCTCTATATTTCATTAGTTTTTACGTTATCTAGTGAATTTAGTCAATATTGTACAGTACAAGTACACTGTAATACAGTGGTCCCTCGGTTAACAATGGACCTAAGTGCAAACCTGTACTGTACATGTACTAAATGATTACGGTACTAAAATTGTTATGTCTATTGCAAATATAGCTTGTTTATATTCAAATTAATCACCATCTTACAAGAATCCCAGCAATGTAAGTTATATTCACCCAGGTCGTTTGAGTGGCAAATTATGAGAAGAACTTAATCACTCTTAAGGAATAAAAAATATACACTCAGGCCTTCAGCGCCAACTGTCAAATCATATCGCCTCATCTCCCGCTCCCCCCCCTCCACCCCCTCGCTCTCCCTCATCTGCCCAAGCCAGGGTTTTAGGCCTTAAGTTTTTCATATAATGTCTCGGACTATAGGAGAATATAATTTGCATTGCTGAAATCCTTGCTAGACAGAGATTAATTTGAATATAAACGTCATATATTTTGCTCAAGAGATTAAAATTGTAGTACATTAGTGTACAGTACTGTAGTACATTTTATAATATTAAGTTTTTCAACTGTATTTTTTAGTAGATTTACATAAATTTCTTCATTTATTTTCATCCATTTACATGAACACACCATACTAAAAGAAATAAATGACCTTAGTGCAAAGCTGGAGTGCACATGTACTAATTTGATAACGGTACTAAAATTGTTATGTCTATTGCAAATTATAGATTGTTTATATTGAAATTAATCAGTATCTTACAAGAATCCCAGCAATGTAAATTATATTCACCCAGGTCATTTCACTGGCTTTTTATAAGAGAGAAGCTTAGTCACTTAAGAACTGATAAATAAACATGCGTTAGACCTTGTGCCAACTGTCAAACGTACTACTCACCTCCCGCTCCCTCCCCCCCCCGCTCCCTCCCTCCCCCCCCGCTCCCTCCCTCCTCCCCTCCTCCTCCCTCCTCCCTCCCTCCCCTCCTCCCTCCCTCCCTCCCTCCCTTCCTTCCTCCCTCCCCTCCCCTCCTCCCTCCCCTCCCTCCCCTCCCTCCTCCCCTCCCTCCCTCCCTCCCCTCCCCTCCCTCCCTCCTCTCCCTCCCTCCCTCCCTCCCTCCCTCCCTCCCTCCCCATCTGCCCAGCATTGCTGGAATCCTTGTAAGGCAGTGAATAATTTTAATATAAACGTCATGTATTTTGCACAAGAGATAAAAATTAATCACCTGTATCACATTACAGTAGTGATTTAAGAGTAAAAGTGTATATGTACGTATATATAGTATTCCACATACAGGTAAGTATAAAGACAAAGTTTATGTGATGATCGGACAACGTCCATTTCGGTTAACGTCACGTTTCCAAGAACGTATCTAGGACGTTAACCGGCGCATGCATGTGTGTGTGTGTATATATATATATATATATATATATATATATATATATATATATATATATATATATATATATATATATATATATATATATATATATATATATATATATATATATATATATATATATATATATATATATATATTGAATAAAGCTAAGGTGCTCCATTGTTTCCCTTTTCCTGTCTGGTTTTATCGAGATTTATCTTGTCCACGTTTTCATTGTGGATCTACATGATATAGTAATATAGATTGTTGTTTATTTGTGACAGGAGTTGGTCCGGACATTAATGAATATTCCTAAGGGAGAAACGCCCAATACAATCAGTGAAAACCAAATTAAATTAATGCTGGAGGAAGTTGGAAAGACTTTGACCAAGAGACAAGATGTTACTTTAGGTGTTGTCCGGGCTCAGGAAACTCTCACTGTGGACCTGGCTGTAGCTGTTGGTATGTTTATGTTTGTTTTTCATATGTTGTTTTTCATATGTCTGCACTCAAATCCTTATTAATTTAGGCATTCATATCACCTATGAATCTGAGGTTCTTTCATTTACCTGCTCCATTTACTTTCATATTTTCTGAGGAATTTATATGTTATAAGCCAGAATCTTATATGACTTACTCATAATTTTAATGCTTTCTCACGAAAAATATGGCACTCTAATACAGGTTGACCTTCTCTCATCTAGCAGTGTATTGAGAGGCAGCTCCCAGTTAACAGCACTGTTATTGAAAAAAAAAATTATTTGGCAAACTTCCCAATGAGCAGACATACTCAACCACGAAATACTGTAGTTGTCTGCTCGGCAGTATGTGTGTGTGTCTCCCTGCTATTTGTGGCCTGCAATTTTTGTTTACTCTCCATTCACAGTACAGTACGTATTGTCTTTAAAGCGACCATTATTGCCTATATGGTCTTTAATGGACACAGTGATATCTCCGTTACCTGGAATAATTAGTGCAGAGCTTTTCCGGGATGTGTGATTTTCGAGTAACGAGACGACTCTCTCAAACCTGGAAAAATCCTGCTTCCCCGGAATTTTTCTAGGTACAGTGAACCCTTGAAGATTTGGACTCGGTAAATCTAGATTTCGGAAGATTTAGACAGAATTTTGGGAGTTCCTGGGGCTAAGAAGCATTGCCAAAACAGAGCAAAGATCATCTAAAGGTTCGTGTAGCTAAGATATCGGCGCATTGGACATCGGTGACTGTGGCGGGAAGCATAAACAGAGTTGTCAATAAATTCCCACAAACAACAATTTGTTGTTTGTGGGAATATTATTTCATTCACCCTAGTAATGATACACTGTTTCTTTTTATGTTATCATATGTAAATGCATGGTTTATATAATGTGTTCATCACTGTTTTCAAATTCCACTACAAGATATGTGTTTCTCCCCTATGTACGCTGGGCAACGTATGCCTGGCAACATAAGTCTGGCAACGGGAGCAGTAAGTGGAGTGAGTGAGTGACTGCTTTCGCTAGTTAGCGTGTCAGTTGCTGTTTGTAACTCATCACTCCTCACTGCCATATTTCACTGGATTTACTGTTATTATTAGTGTTTACTGATATAATAAAGCTTAATAGTGATTAATCATGGCATTGTAGCTAGGTTAGCTCATCACTGTAACCACCAGGCTACTGGGCCAAGCTGTGAGGTGTTATGGTTGTTTTTCAACTCGTATTTTTGGGTAGATATACGTAATTTTCTTCATTTATTTTTACTCTGTTACATGCACACACCTTCCTACACACATATTGTGTAAAAATAATTGCCCTAAGGGCAAAAACGTAAAGGGAATATACATTTCCTGCACGCGAGTTAGCTGGCTGAGTGAGGGAGCAGAGTGTAGCAGTGGGGAGCATTGCTAGGGAACCAGCGTCCCAGCTTGTCTTCCTTACTATGGTGAAACAGGTAGTGCATGCAAATGGTGACTGTGTTAAACTTTCATTTGGTTTTTATTTACTGGTTTGGAAATATAGTATTTTTTGTTGTAAATCATTTATTGGTATTAATTTTATTTCTCTTTTTACAGTTCCTGGTACTGTATATAGTAGTATATTATTTTAAGAAAAATATGGCTACAGGAGGAAAACTCACAAAACTTTTTACCTAAATACTCCCCGCATCTAATATGCTGTAAAATACATTTCTGTATTTTTGGTGTTTTTTATATAATTATTTATCTTTTTTATATATTTATTACATTCGCCGGAAGATACGGTCAGTCGGCTTTTTCGGACAGGTGGTCCCCCCTTTTAGTCCAGATCTTCGTGGGTTCACTGTATTGGGAAAAATTTCTGAGAGTCTAAACTACGCATCTTGCACAAACAGACACTAACCCACATACCCGTAACGTTTCTGGGTGCTGGGGAAAGTTTTCCAAGAGTTTAAACTAAACATCTTATCATTTCATCTTACGCTGACAAACACTCTCCCATTACAGTGAGTTCTGCTATAACGCGTGTTTTGATAACGCGAATTTGCTCTAACGCGATTTATGAATTAGGAACGATATTTGTATAACGCGAACGCTTGTTTGCTATAACGCGATTTTTGCTTACTATTTCTCCAATTTTGTGGTATTAATTGTGAATATGGTAAAGAAGAATATCTCCAAGAAACGTTCTGGTGATAGAATTCCCGGTGATGATCGTAAAAGAAAGGATATAACACTTGAAGAGAAGCTCAATGTTATCAACCTCAAAATCACCCTTCTCCCCCATCAAGTTACATTCATATTTTTTCAAGGTAAAGTGTTACATTTACTGTATGATTTCATTATTAGATATGAATGTAACATTTATTTAGACTGTGCTATCCTTTGTGTTAGGCTAACTACTAAATTTTTTCGATTTCGAGTAATCTGCACCTAACCCTATTTTCTCCATAAGCCCTGTTATTTCTATTACGCGATTTTCTATAACACGATATTTTACAAGAACACAATTATCGCGTTATAGCAGAACTACCTGTACATTTAAATCACAGGCACAAATGAAAATATTTATGGCTAGCAAAAAAGTGTATAAACTTCTATTCACAGCATCTGTTCTAATTATGTTAGAGAGATGAATTTGGTACCATAATGATCCCGGATAAATTCTCCACAAGACAGTTGCAAAAAAAAATCCTTAAATAAAATATTTTGACACGATAAAATGATGGGGATTCCATTCTTTTAAATAAAGAAATTAATTTTTTATTGGAGTCAATAAAATTAATTCTAATTAAGTTAAAAACATCATTTTTTTTCCCCAAATAATCCTGATTGGTTGATCTAAAAGTTTATTTAAATAAATATGTTTTAGAAACCAAAAACTCTATGATACGGGTGTGCATGGCATGAATGGAGCTGTGTGTCACAGCCAAGACAGTGAATTTTTCACTCTGCACTGGGGAAAATTTTCCAGTCTAAACGATGCATCTCATGAGGAGCTATATTTATTTACGCAAACACCATTGTACACGTACAATATATTGTAAATACTGTAAACAAAATAATGTACCCTGTATTGTAAACACTGTAAACAAAATAATGTACTGTATACTATTACTATATTGTATTCACTAGCAGGTGCTGTCATCTTGAGCCTAGAGTAGGCAGACACTGTCCACTCTGCAGATTGTAATATGTAACTGTAATCACTTTTTACATCTTAACACTTGCAATGGAGGATAAGTGGGTCACGTTACTGACTTGACCTGATGTAATGTCAGGTCACCCATTGTTGGGATAGGGGATTAGTGGGTCTCATGACCTGAAGATGTCTTGATTAAGAGACATGCTAAGGTGCTCCATTATTTCCTACTTACTGAATGTACAGTTCAGTATTCATAACTTTAATCACTTTATATGTCTTAATACTGCTTTAACACTGTATTCTTGGCTGATTGTGTCCTGGTGCAGTGATGTACAGTAGCTAAAACAACTATCAGTGCATGCTTTGTGGGGAAACAATATGAGAACATGGACGATAAATTTTGGTACATGAGGGCTCTCACTAGTCACACGTAAAATTTTGGAGCATGTCGACCTCCACCTGCACAGATAGCTGTTTTAGCTACTGTACAATATTGTACAATACAAATTGTACACAAAAAGGGAACAACCTTCTACAATGGCAGCAGAATATGAACTAAGCGTTCCAAACAGTTAGGCCACCCACACACCTGGCACTTGGGAATGTGTTGGAGCCTGATGCAATCTCTCAGAACTCCCAGAAAATTTTTTCCCAGGCTCAGAACGGAGAGGTTTGGAAAGACTTTCTCTGAATTTTTTCAGAAAATGTGCCTGATTTTCATCCTCGGAAACTCGTTCGCAGACCTGGAATGGAGAGTATTTTTCCAGCCCGTTTTCAATTCCAGCTACAAATATTGGAGAGTTTTGGGGATCGGGTATTCCAGCTCATGAGGAGATTACTGTATCCGCCCAAGTGTCGAGTGGCATTCTTGGTCACCTTATCCTTATTTTCCCTTTTATGGATAGGGAAATGATCCTAGCAGGTTTAATTGTTTGTAACGGAGATGAAGGAGGGTGAAGTCATTCACTGGAAGGCATACAAGGTCCTGCCAGTTTCGTGGTGCAGCAAGAAAAGTGTGCTTCTCATGTCCACCCTAACTGTACCCAGGATATACCAGAGCACTAGTTACAACTGCAGGCACAAGTAAGACCTACAAGATGATGCCTGAATGTGTTGTGGACTGTAACATCAACATGTGCCTGAGTGTGGAATATGCCAGGAAGAGGAAGTGGTATAAAAAGATGTTTTTCCATTCGCTGGATGTGTCAACGCTCTATTCAGTGCCCACAGACTAGTGACGGGAAGAAGCAGATGCTCAATGAGTACATCATAGAGGTGGATAAGTTCTCTAGAGAGGAAGAGACACAAATACATTGATTGGGGAAAGTATAACTGCTGAAAAAGTTGGATCACTGGGCTTCTGTTCTCAAGCTGTGTGTAAAATATGATATTGGTTCATCTACAGTACTCTGTATATAACTGCAACTAAGTGGTGATTGAATATGCTGTTAATTTGGAATGTGCCAGATTGTGTTTTTTCTATAACAGTGCTGTTAATTGGGAATTGGTGGTCGATGTAATGCTAGATAAGAAAGGGTCAACCTGTAGTATCTGTTACAAGCTGTATACAGTACAGTATTTACTTAAAAAATTCGTGTTTATCAGTGCATTTCTTACCAAAATAATTAATACAGCACAGTAGATTTTGGTGAGAATGCAGCATGAGTGAGCAACCTATCGTTGGTGAGTATATGCTGGTCTTGTAGTGCAGTGGGGGTGTGATGTTACTTGATAAACAGGTGTGAGATGTAGTTTTATATACACATATTTGAAATTTATTTTATGTAATATGTCATATGATAATAATAATTAATGGTTTATTGAAAGAACATGGCAGCCAAAGGGCTGAAAATATACAGTAAACGGAGATGATAAAAGTTACATAATTGGGAATGGATCACTTGATTGACAAATAATATAAGTGACATAAATGGTACAGATAGAGTACTATATAATAACAAGGGGGAGAGGGTCATTTAACAAGGAATTTCTGCACAGCACTAGTTAACTACAAGTTATTGATAGTTTTTACAATGGTTGGGATTCGGCTGTTCTTATAGCGATCAGTATAAGCTCGTAGGAGCTGGATGTGGTTGTAGTGTCGAACAGTAATTCATGGATGAAAGATCTCGGGTGGGAACAGGAGCCATTGTCGAGGATGGTGCAGAAGCTTCAACCAAAACTTAAAAATGAGTTCATAAGATGATCAGAGAGAGCTGAGAGAATCAGTGTGTTGAACACTTCTTGATATCTGGAGTAAGAGGGGGAGAGAATCTTACATGCTCTCTTTTGCACTTTTTCTAGGAGTTTTTCCTGTGTGGCATTTAAGGAGGAAGACCGAGCAGGGGAAACATAGAAAGCATGAATATTGAGTAAGTGCTCAAGAGGTCAGGCGCAGTAACTCCAAGTGACTTGAGATGACGGAGGAGGTAGAGACAAAAGCAGGAAGATTGGATAATTGTATCGACATGCAGTTTCCAATTCAGTTATGTATTGTACGTCTACGACAAATATTGAAAGATGGCCTCCAGTGAAATGCTCCAGGTGCACCTTGTTAATTTAAAGCAAGGAAAGAGTTATTTGGGTTATGATGTAGACTAGGTATTGTATGAGGACACTGATGGGAAGTTTGTATTATGAGAAGCCACCAGACCAGCGATTCTTATCACTAAGGGGAATTTCAGGATTAATCTGCCTTTGTATTTTATTATATAAATATATTTTTTTAGTCCTATTTCTAATCTTATACTGTTAAAATTCCAGCTGTTTGTGTTCCCAAATTGATGAATTCAGAGATGCAGAAGAAGTTTGTGTCTCTATGGAAACCAGTGAAGGATGGTGGAGTATTACCAAACCCAGGAAGTCTCAACTCTATTTTGTGCTCCCGCACAGTAATGCTTGTTGCTCAGAATCCTGTGGTGAGCTGCCAAACCACAGCCTGGCAAAAGATAGAGGAACTTATCTCACTGCTGATATCTGCTGAACTGCTGACTCCTGCAAGTCTATTGGAACAGTGTGTTGCCTTACTGAGACACACATGGCCACAGGTTAGACTCTCCTTCCTGTCTGTACTCCACCAGGTGGCTCACTTAATATAGGGACACTTCTTAGTGGGCATTATATCACTTAGATCTAGCCCACAATTTATCTGTTTATCCAGTGGATGTATTATTTAACCCTTCATGCTCCCCTGTATGTCCAGCCTCATGTATAGTACCCCTAACTAGTGCATTTACAGGGGCTGTTAGGTTTTGTGCAGTGTGGCAGCGCTGTATTTGGTTATAGGAAACTCACAATAGTAAACATAATATGGAATCAAAGTAAAAAAAAAATATTTAAACAAATATATAAATCTAAAGATTTATGGAATGTTTATATGTTTAATAAGAAATACATTAAATAGACCAGGGATGGCCAACCTCTGGCGCATGCGCCAAACGTGGCGCATTGGATGATTAGAAGTGGCGCATTGCATCCCTGTGATAATAATAAAGTAAGGCAGTAAGCCTAGTCATTATTTTTAGCGATTTTATTATTTCGTGCACAGCATCAGACTGAAATAGAAGGAAAACTGAAGCTCGTGCTTGGGTCTGAGTTACGGAAAGAATATGTGACTAAGAAAAGGGAAGAATTCAGAAGAAGACAAAATGTATTTGTTAAAAAAAGTTGTGAAAGTTTGTCGATAACAGAAGCGTCCTATGAAATTGCTTTAGCGTTGGCGAAAAAAAGGAAGTCTTTTTCTGATGGAGAAGAAATTGTTAAGCCTTGTCTCCAAATATTTGCAAGAGGTCTTGGTGATAAAAGTATCGAGAGGAAAGCAGACGAAATTGCTCTATCAAAGCAGACAGTTATGAGACGTACCGAGGAACTCTCTCATGATGTATCTCAGTAACTGAAAGACCTTGTCCATTCTTGTACTTTCTTTTCTTTAGCTTTGGACGAATCAATTGACATATGTGATGTAGCCCAGTTAAGCATTTTTATAAGAGGAATTGATGATCCTTTTAGTGTCTTTGAAGAATTTGTCAGTCTTGAGTCGCTTCATGGAAAAACAAGAGGATCAGACATATTTGACAAAGTAAAATCATGCCTAGAAAATCTACAATTAGATTCTAGTAAACTCATCACTGTGTGTACTGACGGAGCGCCGTCAATGATAGGTAAAGTCGCTGGGACTACAACTTTGCTTGAAAACTTTTTAAATCGTCCTCTACTAAAATATCACTGCATTATACACCAAGAGTCACTGTGTGGAAAAACTTTAAATTTGCAGCATGTTATGTTACCGGTTGTGAAATGTGTGAATAAAATTAGAGCAAGAGCATTAAACAGACGAGAATTCAGAGAATATTGTGAAATGCTAGATTTGGAATGTGGCGACCTTGTCCTTCATTGTGAGGTGCGCTGGCTTTCTAGAGGACAGGTTCTGAGTAGGTTTTGGAAACTGAAAAATACTGTTCATAATTTTCTAGAAGAGAAAAATGAGCTACCTGAGGAAAGAGCCCTTTTGTGTGATAAAAACTGGCTATTTGATTTGGCATTTTTAGTTGATGTTACCAGACATCTCATTGATCTAAATTTGAAACTGCAGGGCAAGAACAAATTGTTTCCTAGCTTAGTAAATGACATCAATGCATTCAAGATGAAGTTAAAACTGTTCACCTCTCAGTTAGAAAATGAGGATTTGAGCCAGTTCCCGCACTTAAAAGAGCAGAGTGAACGTGCTGCTGATAATGGCAATTTGACAAAATATACTGAAAAAATCAAGTTATTGCAAGAGTCATTTGAAAGTCGTTTTCGTGATTTTGCTAAAGAAGAAGACTGCATACTCACATTTATAAACCCATTTTCACTTGGTGAACAAAAAATAATGAAGATGCTTAGTGACATACAAATGGAACTTATTGACTTGAAAACAAATTCATTATTGAAAATGAAATTTGATGAGCTTTCCTCAGTCCCAAATGCTTCTGACATGATTAATTTCTGGCAATCATTACCCTGTGAAAATTTCCCAGAACTAAAAAAATTTGCCCAGAGTTATATATGTCGTTTCGGAACGACATATAGATGTGAACAAGCATTTTCATCCATGAAATTGATTAAAAGCAAAACGAGGTCGCGACTGACTGATTCAAATTTGAAGAATTCTCTGCTGCTCTCAGTAACAAATTTAACTCCAAATATTGAAAGACTGGCAAAATCAAAACAGACTCAAAAGTCTCATTAAAGGTAAGTAATGTTTATCTGCTTTATCAGATATTGATTTTATATTTAATAATTTTATCATGTAAAAATGCTAATTATGTCTATAAACACATTTTTACAAAAAGTAGAAGGGGGTACAAGAGTTGTATGGCGCATCTGAACTCGTGTGTGAACAAATTGGCGCATGGTATGTAAAAGGTTGGCCACCCCTGAAATAGACTGTTATTAGAGTGCACCTTTTGCCGAGTGGATGGTGGTATAACGAGGTGAAGTGACGTAAAGAGAATATGGGGCAGCAGGGAGGGAAATGGAGGCAGGTGCTCCTCTACCTACAGTAATGGAATCCGTGAATGATGATCACTCACTTGAAGCTTAAGTTCATGTCTATTATTTTCCTCGTCTGCTATATTATGCAGATAACTTTCATACTGTTCATGTTAAACTTTGGCCATAGTGTGAACAAGAGGAGGTTTGAAGTTAATTGCAGTGATTCTTTATTTACAAGTGATTGTTGTTTGCTAGAACAATCTACTATACTATACTAATAGAGTTAATAAAACCTGTAATAATAATAAGAGTGCTTGCAATCTGTCTCAGTATCCGAGGTGCATGTCACATCTGGTTGAGTATGGATGGTGAATTGTAAATGAAAATATGACTTTTCTAAGCACAACTAATTCCCTTTCTCTAAGCCATATCTGTTTCTTTTATCTGTAAAGGAATCAGGACCAAGTGAGGGGTGTGAATTGCTTGATCATTGATAACTTACTGTAATCAGTGTTTGATACATGTGTCTTTTAAGAAATTTTCAATCCATTGTTATTTCAGACATTTTATTTTTTGAAATCACTATGAAGGCAGCAATATGTGTTGAATATGTTTCTAAATAAATTCTGTGCAATGGAGGAAACTTCAGACTTCAGTCCACCTCTTTAATTAGAATGAAAACATGTTGGCAACACTTGAGGTGCCAATGCAACATTTCATATTCATTCATCACAGGCAACAATTGGAGGTTTTCTTCTGATGTAGCATTTTGATGTAATCTTTGTATCGTGGTGACGAATGGTGTATATGACGAATTTTCAATGAACTAGATAAGGTAATAATCAATGACTACTGTACTGTTCAACAGTTTTTGTTCCATTTCGACCACACGCACACATGCACACACGTGCGAACACACGTGCGCGCACACACACACACACACACACACACACACACACACACACACACACACACACACACTTCATCCTTGACCACCGACGGGTCAAGACGGGTCAGACGCACCTGGCGCTGCTCAGCAGCAGCCACGTCAACTATTATGTTGGCCCATACCAACTCCCTACCCTGAACCCTCCTCCCCACCGGAATATCAACAAGTTCTCGCCAGAAGTTACTATTTCATTTGGGAAAGGAATGGAACCAGTGTTGAATAGTGGTGAACAGTGCTTAAGTCAGTGAAAAACAACTCGGCAGTTACAGTTGAGTCTTACCCAAGCTAACCTTCACACAGTGAGGTCCCAGGTACCCAGTGATAATTCCCCTGAGACTCCACGATGGGGAGGCCTGGGGCCACACCTCAGTGAGTGAGGTCCTGTGACCACGTGGTGTCCCCATGATGTTACGACACCACGTAGTGAATGAGTTGCTACAGCATCATGTGAAGTTCCTCATAACACCATCTGTGAGGGAATTACTACACCACGTGATGCCCCTCATAACACCATCTGTGAGGGAATTATTACACCACATCAGGCCCCTCATACACCATCTGTGAGGGAATTACTACACCACATAAGACCCCTCATAACACCATCTGTGAGGGAATTACTACTTCATCAGGCCCCTCATACACCATCTGTGAGGGAATTACTACACCACGTCAAGCCCCTCATAACACCACCTGTGAGGGAACTAGTACTCCACGTGATGCCCCTCATAACGCCATCTGTGAGGGAGTTACTACACTACGTGTCTGCTGTTCAACACCTCAGCTCACATGATCTACGTGTGTAAACATTAATCTGTATGTTCACTGTATGTTCCTTCACCTTTCTTTAATGAAGGCTTTTGTTAAACCACCAATGTATGTAATAAGTCATTTATGTCCAATGTATATTTTCAGCCTTCGGGCTGCAACTTTTTCAATAAACCGTTTATTATTATTATTATTATTACACACACACACACAGAAAAAAAAATTGATGCCCCTTGAGATCAAGATCAAGGATGGCCAGTCCTGGGGCTACCTAGGCGTGAATTTGGTTAAGGTTTAGAACTCATCACCAGCTCAACAACCCAACTGCACTGGGTAACCATTATCCCTGAACATGATGCACAAGTCGATTCACATCCAGGTCTCCAATTACTGCTGGGTAGATAGAGGCAAATGGTGTAGATAAACTTGCCCGTGGATTGAACCTGGGTCCGCTCGCTTGCAAGGCGAGCATGTTGACTATTAGCCCCACACACACACACACATTGCAATAAATACATTTGCCAACTAGACATAATACTGACAGCTCTGTCCTCTTGTACCACTTTAATACAACCCATGTTGTACTGCTTCTCTCCCTTATCATACTGTATTTATGTATATCAACTCCACTGTAAAGTATGAATATACTTATACAGGTAATATAAATGCAAAAGAATAAATAAATAAATAACAAAGTGATAACTGTGGTAACATTCTGATATGTTCTTATTATCACCATGATACTAATTGTTACATAATACTTCCTTGTGATAAAGGTGCAGTATATATCAGGTGCCTACAGGAGAGCTCAGGCTCTCAACGGGTTCAGTCATGTTACTATTATGATTTTTATCAACT